GCGGCATGGCTGCGCAATACGGGAAGGCAGCAGGAAATGGGCAGTATGCAGGGCAACCTACAAATGTCCATGAAATCACCATCCATATCGAGGATGACAACGAGCGAACCACAACCGCAGCAGATACGAACATAACTATCACCCAGAAGCTTCAAGCAGCCGGACCACCGGACACAACGAAGATCAGCGGCATAAGGAAGCTACAGAGTGGAGACGTCAAGGCATACGTCGCGGATGAGGCCACAAAGGAAGCACTGCTTAAGAAGAGGGAATGGGTGCAGGTGCTGGGCAAGACGGCACGCATACAACTGCCCGCAGTGCTGATAGAGGTGCATGGAGTACCTAAGAACTCGGACCTGGAAAGCCAAACACTTAAAGATGACATTATCAGGGCCAACGCGATAATCAACCCAGGCCTAGTTATCGAGAAGATGACATGGAAGAACAAGAAGGGCATAAAGGCTGCGCGAGAGAACCCAGGCCGACACGCCAGCTCAATTATTGCCAGCGTGCGCACGGAAGCAATGGCAGACAAAGCTATTATAAAGGGATTTGCAATAAGTGGACAATTGCTAACAGCCTTAAGATACGAAGCAGGCTTTGTAGCCACACAGTGCTTTAGATGCCAGGGCTACGGGCACGTTGCAAGACACTGCAAGAAGGACATCCGATGTGCAGTATGCGCAGGGGAACACAACACAAGACAATGCACGGCAACAGACACTAAGAAGTGCGCCAACTGCAAGAGAAACCACCCGGCATACAGTGCCGAATGCAGCATAAGGAAAGGGGCCCAGCTACGGGCTATGTTAAAGAGGTGGGCGACGCCACACCGATATAACACTAATAAGGGGCCGAGCTTGTACACGCCCCAGGCCCCGCTGGGGGTGTGTACAACCTCAACCCAGTCCAGGAAGAGGAGAGCTGCTAACAATAACGCACGCGAAGGCAGCATAGAACTAGGGCCAGCGCCAACAGCACTAAAGAGAGTAGGACAACCGAAGATGTTTAAGCATCCTAATAAGGACCTAAGCCAGCCGAAGATTAACGGAATAATGCAGACTGCTTGTTTAACGCAGTAATCTTCCTATCTAACGCCTTCTCAGACACTGTATACTTCTCGCTTTGCATTGCTATCCTTACAGCCTCTAACCTAGTTAACTTAATTAATAATATACAGAGATATAGATAGACTTTTACAACTTAAAACTATTACCTAAGTGCCGTCCTTATAGGAAGATAATATAAGCTAGTAACTACGCGCTAAAATAGGTGCAGTAAACGCCGCAGATACTATAGACATAGTTTAATATTAGAATAACCTAGTATACTTACTATTATACAGTATAATATTAACAAGAGCTGCGAGACCTAAAGGGAGTTCCTGGAAAAAGCGGAGAAAGCCTAGCCTTAACCGCTGGTGCTAGTAATATAAAAGCTATAGAAAAATATATAGTAATAAAAGTATAT